TTGACATATCATGACATTTTGCTATATATTAAATATATATACTAAATATAATGCGCAGGTAAAAATTGCTGATACAGCTCACGTTTACACGGTGGTAACGAGCTTCCATCAAAACAGTGTAATTTCTTACTAAATTTTGTCATTGAGATCTTTTGGTCTATAATAATTTATAAAAAGATGGAACCTGCCATCATCTACATTTTTTTTTTAATTTATTGATTAAAGTTATCATACATATTTTTTTTTATTTGTACCATTAAACCAAAAATGGTTTGTATTGGTACTCACATTCGCAACTACCGCACTGCTTAACATTAAATAATTAGTTAATCTTAACAGTAATCAAAAATATACATTAAAATATACCTCCTTTTTGTGTAAGTGGTAAGCACCCATTTGCAATTTTTACTTGGGACGTTCCGGAATTGAGCGCCACCGACTTGAGCGCTCATTGCTTTTGTTCTACATCTACTGATTTCTTAGCTAAATTACTGTCACCAACAGCTGCGAAGGGTTCTTGGTATGCCTGAGTTTTCTATAGTAAGGCTCGTTTTTTCCCTTATTAAAAAAAAGTTGGATTATAATCACAGCCCATAAATGCATAGAAACCAAGCAAACTTTCACTCAATAAATCTCCACGTTGCTCATAAATTTTTGAAATATTTATGAATCGTTCATTATTTCCTGTTCCCGTGAGAATCCATAATTGAGAAGAGCTATTTTTTAATTATAGCATATTACCAAGCATGATTATTATGATATCCGTATCAGAATGGATGGCATCACATTTCATTTGTAGGTAATTTTACACCTAATTTATTAAAATAGTTCTAGAAAAATCTCTTTGCGTCTGCTTTCAAATATAATTAAATATAGTCGACACTAGATGGCGACACTTTGTGTCATGTGAACAAAAAATATAAAGGTACGTAGAGCTCAGTAATGATAAAATAATCATACGAAGGTGCTGAAATTTGTTTTGCATTCAGACATATAGAAATTTTAATCGCCAAAATATTATTTTTACAGTTTATAACATTTTGTGGACAGGTCGCCATCTACTGTCAAGGTAGCTAAACTACATTGCAACATCGATATGGAACAATTCGAGTAGTTTTACTATTTATCGGTAGATGTAGATAGTGTAAAGTGGGCGGGGCTATACATCCCCTCACCCCGCAAATTGTCACGCGTTGTTACATAGTGAAATTTAATTACAACGTCTCCTCTTTGCATTTGCTTCATGACTATCACACTCACGATTAAAAACCCTTTCTTTCACATACCCCCACAGAAAGAAGTCTAACGGGGTCAGATTTGGTGAGCGAGGTGGCCAAATGTATGGTCCTAGTCTGCCAATCCAGCGATCATAAAATAATTCGGTAAGGCGCTCACGGACGAACCTCACGACATGTGGAGGTGCACCATCATGCTGGAACCATGTGCGGCGATATTCAGCCAACGATAGGTCGTCTAAAATGTCAACCAACTGTTCATTTATGAAGTTTAGGTATCGCTGTCCATTAAGTCGCTGTGGCAAAAACATTGGTCCCAGTATGCGATTCTTAAATAAACGTTAACCGACCATCGGATTTGGTGCCCGGTTTGTCGAACAGCGTGCAGGTTAACCTCTGAATACATGCGTGTATTTCTTCGGTTCCACAGGCCTTTTCTGGTAAATGTCGACTCGTCGGTCCAGATAACGTGCTCAATGGAACCAGGCAGACGTTGTTGTTGGTCTAATAACCAAATAAGGAAATAAAGCTTGCACTTTGTATGGGCGCATTGGATTACGCTTTAACACTTTGTGAACTGCACAGTATGACACACTTGTTCCATCCCGACGTCTTAACAATTTAGCGATACTTCGTGTACCTAGCCTCGGGTACCGGCGGATGACATAAAATGCGGTCCTCGGAGTGAACAGCCACTTGAGTTCTACCTCCTGCCGCTAACGGAGAAATGGGCCGATTTTCCAACACTCGCTGAGATGCTGCTGTTATCAGACGAGAGTCAGCTGGATCTCGAACGGTCGGGAATTTCTCTCGGTAAATTCGTAATGCACGCGAAGCATTACCTTAAGCTACTCCAAGGTACATTAACATGTTGCCGTATTCACGATCATTATAAAAAAAGAAACAAAACATAACAACAAGACTAACACGTAATAACAAGTAGGTAGTAATAGCAATAAGAATTTAATAAACAGAACGATTGAACCGTCGCTCGCGCACGCTTGTCCAAAGTCAACACGGAACTGTCTCAAAAACAAATTAATAATGAATCCCACCAAAACTGAAGCCTACTGCGTCCTAGCGTCCTTGCGGTAAACATTTTGAACATTCCCACAGACCGTAAAACGTTATGACATCGCCAACTTTTATTTTATAACTTTAGTTTCCATATGATCCCTACGACTAGTCTTCATATGGAATTTAAAGGTATAGTTGTAATTTTTAATACAATTAGACAATCAATTGTACCCTGACGAAACAAGCAGTTCTTTACTACAAAAATGATATTGAAATTAATAAACGTACTTCGGTACTCACACAATTATAAACACTATTTCATCGTTATCTTTGATTTTGTACTTGAAAATAGAAATGAAATGTTATTGGATAATTTAATAGTAAAAATCAATTGCTATTTAGAATAGAATAGAATAGAATAGAATGATTTTTATTCAATATGGATTATTACATAATACTTATTGAAAGTCATTATTTTATTTACCACTGGTTCGGAAAATACCTCTGTCCTGGGAAGAACCAGCAAGAAACCCAGCGGGACTTTTTTTTTAAACATAATTTCACTTAACAATAATTTTGTTTATACAATTTTAAATGAATTTTCATAGAACCAGCATGGTGGCGATCACCTTATTCCCAGGGGTTATTTTCATTCATGTATTCCTTGATATTATAATAACCCTTTTTGTACAGTTTTTCTTTAATAAAACTTTTAAACTTGTTTATTGACAAACTTTGAACATGTTCTGGGATTCTGTTGTAAAAGCGTATACATTGCCCCATAAATGAATTACTAATTCTGTGGAGTCTTGTAAGTGGCATTACAAGCTTATGTTTGTTCCTAGTGTTTAAGGTATGAACATCCTTATTCTTATTAAAGCTATTTATGTTTTTATGTACATACATTACATTTTCATAAATATATTGCGATGCCAAAGTTAATATGTTTATTTCTTTAAATTTTTCTCTAAGGGACTCTTTACAATTTAGATTATAAATCGTCCGTACGGCTCTCTTTTGCAAAACAAATATAGCTTCAATATCAGTCGCATTACCCCATAGCAAAATTCCATAAGACATTACGCTATGAAAGTAACTAAAATACACTAACCTAGCTGTCTCAACATCTGTGAGACTTCTAATCTTTCTTACAGCATATGCTGCAGAACTAAGTCTGCTTGCTAATTTAGATATATGGGGACCCCATTGAAGTTTCGCGTCAATAGTAATACCGAGAAAAACAGTGGTATCCACAAGACTCAACTCCTCCCCATTTAAGAGCACATTGGTTTTCGAATGTTTTACATTAGGTATTGTAAATTTAATACATTTTGTCTTATTGCCGTTTAAGAGCAAATTGTTGGCGTTAAACCAATGTACTAGTTTCGATAGAGCATTATTTACATCGTCATATTTAATTGACTGCCGTTTCAGTTTGAAAATTAAAGAGGTATCGTCAGCAAATAATACTATATCGTGATTGTCCCCTACAAGATAAGGTAAGTCATTAATATAAATTAAGAACAGGAATGGGCCAAGAATCGAGCCCTGAGGAACGCCCATTGATACTACTGATCCGGAGGAACATTTACCATTAATGACGACTTTTTGAGTTCTGTTACTTAAATATGAAGTAATAAGTTTAAGCGCCAAATTTTTTACATTTGTTATTTGTTACATTTATTATGATCGACAGTTAATCTAAAAATAATTCTTTTACTTTATTTTAATTGATTTTCCGTTTTTAATCCGTCCAATACTTTGATTTGAAAAGAGGTACGTCAAAACTATAAAAAAATTACTTGCAAGTTTTATTGTGATTGCCGCCTCTAATTCTTATGTCGCTTGCAAACAAATCTTAGTAGTAAATTTCAGTGCAACATGGCAGTGTTGCCAACACTAATTTCTCAAATTTTCCGAAAATCCATGTCAAATTCCCCAATTTGAGGACAAAATAACTTCAACAGATGCCCCTCAATTTTATTTGAAACTTTATTCAAATATTTTGTTTCGTTTAATAACAATTAAAATCTATTTAGAAAATCGATTGAATAGGCTACTATTCAATCTATTTTCTAAATAGATTTCTTTTATTCAGTATTAATTTCTGCAGATTCGCCTCAGATGTTTCAATATTATGAGTTTTTTTTTTTGATACTGAAGGCTATTTATTACAAAAAAGATCCTTCATTATCTAATGCCATAGACAAAATACATAAAAATATTTAAAAACGTTTTGTTTTTGCTATTGAAGCATTAGCTTTCGTTTTTCAGTTTTAAAAATGTTTATATGATTGTCCCATAGATTACAGAAATAAAAACCATTTAATTATGCTTATAATTTATAGTTATATTACCTACATATTTTGTATAACTGTTACGAACGATGTCGACAACCCAATTTCATACATCTCCTTTAAAACATTGTAAACAAAACAATAGCAAATGAATGCTTTTGTTTTGTCTATCGTCTTATTGTGATATTCGATTTGATGAAAATTGTTGGGGTTGTTTTTTATAAATGATGCGCGAGGAACATGCAAAGAGTTTAAATTATATTACATTACAGAACATTAAATTCGAAACAAGAGTTGCATTATAAAATATATCTAAATTGCTCTGCTCTTATAATATTTTTTCTCTTTTTTGTTTTTGTATACAAAGTTTTTCTGAGTTTGTTAGCTATAAAACTTTATATTTAATTTAGTTTAAATATGTAAATTATAACATATTTTTGTGCTTTTTCAGGTTTATTGAAAAACAAATCGAAAGAAGGTAAGTAAACTTTTTTTTATAGAAATAGGGTGACATACGAGCACACAGTCCACCTGATGGTAAGTGGTTGCTGTGGCCCATAGACATCTACATCTATCCTCGTTTACGAATCAAAATGCAGATGCGTTGTCAGCCTTAAGGACTAAGATGGAATACCTCTTTTCCAGTAAAAAGGGTCTCCGGTTCTCTACACTCACCATACGAAACACTACAGCATTAAGCTGCTATTTTACGCTGGTATTCTGTGAGAGCGTGGTCCTTCACCGGTCGAGCCGACCCATTCGTGCTACAACAATATTATAAATATAGCTGCAGCTAGAGATGGTAGAGCCACTACCACGTACAAACTTTAAACATAATGAATATATTTAGATGATTTCTATGTATTAATGATATTTGTAATTATTAATTAATTAGGAGTTCGGACATTCGGTCTTACAAGCAAATGTACCGATTACAGTATGAAATTGAAGTCTAAAACAAAAATTAATACAAAAGAGGAATAGTTGTTATTACTTTATTTTTAAAGAAAAATATTACATTAGGTAAAAATAAAAGATTTCTAATACACATAACACAACGTATTAGTAAGCTGAAGTGACGATGGGCCCGCCATACAGGGTTATTTTTCAAAGAGTAGCCAAATTTTAAACTTATGAAAATACGAGTAAATAACTTCTACTTTTATTTGAAATTATCCCAAATTGAATGTGATTTATGGGCAACACGACACAAAGTTTTTGTCTACCGATCGACCCTTACGAATGTGTACATGTGCAGTAAAATCAGTTAAAATAATGCATTACCACGCATTTTCAATTTAAAAGATAAAAAGGACAGAATGTTTGAGATTTTTTTTCTTCGCCATTTGCCTATATAACTTATCCTGAACCTTCTCTGCAAATTTGGCCGGTTATTGCAAAATAAACCTATATAGCTCGAAGCACCAGCAATAGGTAGTAAAGAAAGGTTCTCAAGCGGCAGCTAGATGGAGTGACGACCTGATGAAACACGTAGGCAGTCGGTGGATGCAGGTGGCTCAGGACTCTACCTTGTGACAATCTATGGGGGAGGTCAATATTCATCTGTGCCCTTGCGATGGGCACTTGTAGTAGTAGTATTGATGGTGATAGATGTGTTGCTTTATTGAACGACTGATCGCTTCTGCAGCCGAAGCCGATGTGCGCAGAACTCGTTGTACGTGGGCGAGTTCCACGACACGATGAAAGACGTGGTCGCGAACAGCCCCGTGTTCCTGTACCCGTACCTGCTGCCCTCCATGCCGTACCGACCGGACGTCGTCCGCCGCTTCAAGTTCCTGCGCTCCGAGGACGAGTGAGTACTTTAGTCCTTTTATCAAGTGAATTGTCTACTATCTTATCGGTGTAATATGACGCAGGCTCGGCACACGCTTTATTAAAACTCGGCCACTCTTGCCCGGAGCTCTCGTCTAACTGACCTTGACGGGTACGCTCGATACAGTGAATTGTATGTATTTGCATATTGATTGAGTTGTGTATTTTGTATATTGATGTATACTAAATTATTATTAGTAAATAAAACGATAATATTTAAGCGCTGTATATTACATATCCGCAAATACTACACAAAGTTTTCATTAAGGCGAATGTTTCCTACTTTAAAAGGCTTTTAGCGTTCCCTTTTTCGCTACATGCATATTTGTCCAGCATGAAGTATGCGTGCGACATGCAATGGACAAAAAGTTACTTCATTTAAAACGTTTTTGATTATCATTAGGAACTAAAGGATCTAAATAAAATGTAGCCGATTAAAAAACTAATTCAATGACATGCCTTTCATATTATCGAAAAATGTTATATAGTTATCTCTTAAAAAACGTGTAGTAGAACGTCAAATTTATTTTCGGCGATTAATTTTTTTTATCAATATAATATGGAGAACTCAGTGCTTGATGAATTAACCAGTCTTATTTCTTCTCAGTTCTATTGGCCTCAAATTGAATTTTTCAAAGTGCGAACTTTTTGTTAAAGAGAATTTACCATCGTCCGAAAAAGATGATATTGCTAACAAATTTAACTCCTAATTAACAGCAAATTGCTTCGCCTTCTAGGTGCTCCTATTCTGGATGAGTCCTTTCAATGCTTTGTCAGTGAACAGATTTTAAAATTTGAGGAGTCATCCAGTCGTCTGAAAGAAATTAGCTCTCACATGGCATATGCCATACTAAAATTTTGTCTTTTTGTGCCAAATTTTACGTACGTGCTGCGGTGTTCAACTCTATGAATGCATGTCCCATTTTTAAATCGTCTCGATGATATGGTTAGGAAAACTATGATTGAAATTCTTAATTGTCCATTAAATGAAAATTACTGGGTTCAGGCCACACTTCCCGTTAGATTTGGTGGTCTAGGCATCCGAAGAGTTTCCAGCGTAGCACTTCCAGCTTTCTTGTCTTCAGTTCATAGCACGTGAGACCTCATTGGAACAATTATTAACCCATCACTCGGTGATGTAGAGGTCTTCTACTTGACTGGGGCCAAGGAAGCCTGGAGCAATAAGACAGGGCCGGATCAAGTTTTTTCGACAAACTTTAATCCTCAGAAGACACAAGTTTGCGCGTTTACCGCTAAAAAGAACCCCTTTGTTGTATCTCCTCAGTTTCAAGGCACTCCCCTTCTTGCCTCAGCCAGTATCGGTATCCTCGGAGTCGACATATCGAGTGACGTGCAGTTTCGTGGTCACTTGGAAGAGAAGGCCAAATTGGCCTCTAAAAAGCTTGGCGTGCTCAGCAGAGCGGGACAGTATTTCATGCCGGCACACCGCCTGCAACTTTACAAGGCGCAGGTTCGGCCTCACATGGAATACTGTTCCCATCTCTGGGCAGGGGCTCCCCAGTGCCAGCTCCTTCCACTTGACCGCATCCAGCGCAGAGCGACTCGAATCGTCGACGACCGAGCCCTTTCCGATCGGCTCGATTCATTGGCACTGCGAAGAGATGTTGCATCTCTTTGCATTTTCTTTCGCATCTACCATGGGGAGTGCTCTGAGGAATTGTTCGGATTAATCCCAGCCGCCAAATTTCACGAACGCACATCGCGGCAGAACTCCCGATACCATCCACACCATCTGGATGATTGGCGGTCCACCACTGTGCGATTTAGAAGATGTTTTCTTCCTCGTACAACTTCCTTGTGGAATAGTTTACCACCAGGGATTTTTCCGGACCGATACGACTTAGGGACCTTCAAGAAAAGAGCCTACTCCTTTTTAAAAGGCCGGCAACGCATCTGCAATTCCCCTGGTGTTGCGGTTGTTCATGGGCGGCGGTAGTCACTTACCATCAGGTGAGCCGCATGCTCGTTTGCCCCCTCTCCTATAAAAAAAAAAAAAAAAAACTCGGCTTCGCAGAGGCTTTGACACGTCTACCGGCCCTCTGATCGGAAGACCGTATGGGGGGGGTAGCGATACTTTGGAGAAAGGGAATTTTTGACGGCGTGTCTATAATAAAGTGCACGAATGATCGCATTGTAGCTATTAAAGCCAGTATTGGGCGGCGAGCGATTCTGGTTTTTTCCGTATACATGCCAACTAACTCACTAACCAATCTACCCATATTTACCGATGTGCTGAGCGAAATAAACGCTATAATTGATAATGAAAATGTTGAGAGTGTATTTATACTGGGAGATTTTAACGCGCATCCCCACGAACTGTTCTATAATGAACTCATAACCTTCTGCTCGGAGCAGAGCTGGGTCTGCGCCGATGTTGAAAAACTAGGTGAGCAAAGTAACACTTATACATACGTAAGCGCTGCGTACGGATGCCGTAGGTGGTTAGACCATTGTTGTGTGACAGACCTTGCGTGGCAGACTGTAGTGGAAGTGGAAGTAATGGAAGACGTCTTTGTGTCGGATCACTTACCACTAATTGTAAAGTGCGATTTAAGCTGTGTAAGACCCAAGTTGGCATCACCTAGCCTACAACGAAGCACGGTAATATGGGGAGAGCGAGGCGAGGCACAGATAACTAAGTACCATGACCTATGTAATAATAGTATGCGCGAAATTGATTTTCCTTCTGAGTTTACGGAGTGCAGCCGCGGAATGTGTAGCTTGAGTGAGCACGAAAAAGTACTAGATCGCTTGTATCAGAATATTGTACATGCCCTAAGCGACGCGGCAAGTAAGTCGAGTAAGACTCGTGGAGGAAGGAAGAGCAATAACAGGCATTTATGTGGGTGGAACAAGCATGTTTATGATGCTCACAAGCAGGCCAGGCTTAACTATCAAGTTTGGTTGCTGAATAATCGGCCTAAGTCTGGTAGAATCTATGAGCAGATGTACGAATCGCGTAAAATATTCAAAAGTCGACTAAAATGGTGCCAACAAAATCAAGACCAACTTAAAATGGACGTTTTGGCCAAACATAGATCTGCTAAAAATTTTGATCGTTTCTGGAAGGCAACAAAAAAGCTTGATGTTAAGTCTGGTTTGCCAACAAGTGTGGAGGGGGAGAATGAGCCTGCTCATATTGCAGAAATGTTTAGGGCTCATTTTAAAGTCAACTCACCACTGGGCCCCTCGGTTCCTACTTTTAGCAAGCCTTTGTGTCAGGGAGAAAATAAACTAGTGCATGTTACAGCTGAACAAGTGAGAAATGTACTTAAAAATATGACTGGTGGCAAGTCTCCTGGACATGATGGCATTAGCGTTGAGCATCTTAGGCATGCTGGTGTTCACCTTCCGAGGGTTTTGGCGCTGTTTTTCACAATGTGTATCAGACATTCCTATTTACCGCAAGAAATGTTAAAAACAATTGTGGTGCCCATTGTGAAGAATAGAACTGGTGACGTCTCGGACATGAAAAATTATCGTCCAATTTCATTGGCAACGACGATTGCTAAGGTGCTGGACGGTGTGCTTAATTCTTACCTTGAAAAAATAGCTAAGCTACATGACGCACAGTTTGGGTTTCGGTCTGGGCTATCTACTGAGAGTGCAATTGTAAGTTTAAAGCACACTGTCCAGTACTATACTAATCGCGGGACACAGGTGTATGGCTGTTTCCTAGACCTGTCAACGGCATTTGACTTAGTGTCTTATGACATATTGTGGGCAAAGCTGGAGGACAGAGGACTACCGGTTGAATTGCTAAATATATTTAAGTTCTGGTATGCCAACCAGACAAATTGTGTAAAATGGGCCGACTCTCTCTCGGAAGAATATGTGTTGGAGAGTGGGGTAAGACAGGGAGGCTTGACGTCTCCCACACTCTTCAACATATATATTAATGATCTCATTGTCAGGTTGAGCAGTATGCGTGTCGGATGCCGTATTGATGGAGTAAGCACCAACAATATAAATTACGCTGATGACAGTGTACTGCTCTGTCCAACTGCGGGGGGTCTTAACGAGATGCTAAGGGTTTGTGAGAAATATTCTGCTGAGCACGGGCTCATATACAATGTAAAAAAGACAGAATGCATGGTGTTTAAGGCCGCTGGTAAATGTCCCGATAAAGTCAATAACATTACCCTGAACGGCGTGAACATACAACGTGTATCAAAATTTAAATATCTGGGACATATAATTACTGACGACCTTAAAGACGACGCTGACATAGAAAGGGAACGTAGGGCTCTGTCAGTAAGAGGCAATATGTTGGCTCGCAGATTCTATCGTTGTAGCGAAGACGTAAAAGTGACCCTTTTTAAAGCGTATTGCCAAAACATGTACACGGGAAATCTGTGGACCAGCTATACCAAGAAGTCGCTGGACACCCTACGAGTCCAATATAATAATGTGTTCAGGATGTTGTTGGGATTGCCTCGTTTCTGTAGTGCATCAGCGATGTTTGCAGAATACCAAGTTGACGACTTTGCAGCCATTATTCGCAAAAAAACCACATCGCTGATATTTAGAGCGCGAGGCAGTCCCAATAGCATTCTGCAAACCCTGGCAGATAGGTATACTTCTCCGCTTTGGGCCTGCTTTGTGAGGAGGGTTATTTTAAAACACAGTTATTTAAATTAAATTCAAATTGACCTCATCAGATTTTATTTTGATATTTTATTTTATTTTGATTGTATTTAATCTAATTTAATTAAGACATTATTGGATTTCGATTGATTTTTATTTGATTTTTTGTTTGATTGTATTTAATGTAATTTGATTTTGACATTACTATTATTTGATTATTATTTTATTTTTATTTTTGATTTTATTGTAATTTAATTTTGGGTATAGATTTGATTTTAGTTTTGATTTAATTTAATTAAATTTATTTAATGTTCTCAATTACTAACCTAATATAAGTCATACTAACAACTTATGGATCTTTGATATCTGAAA